AGAGCAAGTAGCGCGTGAAGCCATCGATGGCCAGGTAGCCCTTCTCCCGGCCCTCCTTGGAGGGCTCGTACTTGCTGACGATCTCCAAGCACTTCTCCTCCGTCACCCCCTCCATGCCCTGCTCCACCTCCAGGAACATCAGCAAGTCCTTCAGACCCAGGTACTCCTTGTTGCTGGAGAACTGCACCAGCAGGAAGAAGATCTCGGGGCGGGTGCAGAGCTCACAGTACGCCTCCACGAAGAGGTCGCAGGCCACCTCCGCACCGGGACGCTCGCTGACCTTCTGCAGCTCCTTGAACTTCAGCTCAATGGTGGAGGTCTTCATGCCTGGGTTGAGTGCTTTGATCAGCTGCACAGCCCGGGACACAGGGATGCGGCCAGACTTCTCCAGGTCAGCAAGGTCAAAGACAGAGGAGATCCAGGAGGTCCGGAGGCTGGGGTGGCTGGTCCCGGGCGCCTCGGGGGTGTGCTTCCCGTAGGACACCAGGTACCGGAGCCCCATCACCCAGGCACTCACCACATCGGCTGAGCTGGCCACCAGGTCCAGGGACTCATAGTTGTCTCCATAGATGATGGAGAAGGCACACTCGTCTGGGAACTGGTCAGAGAGGCCATTGCTGCGCAGGACGGGCGTCTTCTTGCCCACACGCACCTCTTTGACTGACTTGATCTCGATCTTGGCCTTCTCCGAGTCCTTCTTGGAGGGCTCCCAGCGCACGGAGCGCATGTCGGTGTCCAGCACAAAGAAGCGGCTGTACATGCGGGAGTTGGAACGCACCTTCTTCAGCTCGCAGCCCTCCAGCATGAAGGAGATGCAGGCGGCCGTGCTGTTGATCTTGCGGTCGTTGGGCATGGTGCTGAAGGACACTGTCTTCTTCTTCTGTGGCGGCCGCTGCCGGGAACCATCCTGCTAGGGTGGGAGAAGGGGGCAGAGCTGTCAGGGATGGAGCAGGCAGCGCGTGTCACCCCAGCCCAGTGCACAGTGCAGCACCCCAGGGTGCCCCAGTGCCACACAAAGCCCAGTCTGCCCCAGTCTGACCCCCTCCCCAGAGGCTGGGAGGTGGTTCCAGCCCTGACCTCCCCCACAGCTCGCTGCCTGGCTTATTTTAACTCCGCTTTCCTTCCTTCCTTCCTG